TTCATGAGGCTGAGGCAGGAGGAGTCCTGTGAATCTGAGAACAGTCCAGGTTACAGGGTGAGCCCAGTCTCAAACAGAAAAGGGGACCCAAGGAAAAGAATAATTTAGTTGGCATTTTAACTATTTTCTTCTTAATCTAGTTTTGTAATCTGTGTTCACGGTTCTAGGATTAGGGTCTTTTGTTTGTTTATTTGTTTGGTCTTTTCTCAAAGTGAATCATTGCCCTGTTCAATTCTCTTGTTAAAATACCAACATTAATGTTAGGAACTAATAAGGATATATTAACACATATTTCTAACAAAATTATAATAAAAGGGAGATATTGTAATTCTTTGATAATTAAAAGGAGAAATATAGTGTACATACCATTTCTGTTGTAAAAATCTTCCTGTACTTCTTTGAATAGAGTAAAAGTTTAAAAGGTTTCTATGAAAAAATTAACGGGGCCTGCTGGGTGTGGTGGCTTACCCTTATAATCAGAACTCAAGACTGAGGTAGGAGGATTGCTGAGAGTCTAGGTTACATAGTGAGTTTAAGTCAAGCCTGAACTACAGCTTGAGAAGTTGTCTTTTTAAGAAAGTAATAAAACTTTTAAAGTGATAAAAGTAGAAAATAAAATTAAACACAGTAATGGTGCTTTAGCTTGGAAAGTCTGTATAAGAGATTAGTACCTTCCCCCGAACTGCTCAGAGAATGAACTAGAGGTATAAACAGCCTTAATTGCTTTAAACTCCATTGTTTGACTTGCACAGGTGCTCGCCACCTTCTGGACACAAGGGGTATTTCACCATTTGGAGACCACACAAAATAATCCGAATTGTTTATAAAAACTTGTCTTTTATAAACTCAGCCCTAAATGGGATATTGTCAGAACTCAGGAAACCCCGTAGAAGAGGAGCCAGAAAGACTGTAGGAACTCGAAGGGAAGGAGGACACCAAGAGAACAAGCAAAGCTCATTTGAACTCACAGAGACTGCAGCATGGGTCTCTACCAGGTCCTCTGTGACCGTATTATGGTTTCCAGTTTAATGTTTTTATGGGACTTCTGAGTGGGTCTCTGATTCTTGTGTCTTCGATTCTTGTGTCTTCTCTTGGGTTCTTTTCCTTCTGTTTGTCTTGTCCAACTCTAATGTGATTGTTTTTTCTCTATCTTATTATATTTTATTTTTTCATAGTTTCTTATTGTCTCTTAGAAACCTTTTCTTTTCTGCTGAGAGACAGAGAGGGAATGGATTCAGATGAGAGGGGAGTTGGGAAGGAACTGGGAGGAGTGGGGGGGCAGTAATCAGGATATAGTATGTGTGAAAACAATCGATTTTCAATAAAAAGAAAAATAAATAAAAAATTTGGGAAAAACTTGTCTTTTAAATTTAATGCTTAATTTTGAAACTCATGGCTCATAATCATATTCTTTAGACTAGAAGAGGGAATATTTTAATGCAACAAAGATGACAGGCTATATACTTGTTCTCAGTAAGGAAAAATTATGAAGTGGGTCTAAATACAAATTCAAGGCATACATGGAAATGTCTGCCGAAATATAAGAGACTGCAAAGACAGGTGGAAGAATTATCTTTAGAAAAGAGAGAGAGTCACAGTTGTACTTTGGTTAAAAGAGAATTTTACATTTATTATTATTATTATAATCATTATTATTATTTTGGTTTTTTGAGACATGGTTTCTCTGTGTAACAGCTCTGGCTATCCTGGAATTCACTTTGTAGAACAGGCTGGCTTTGAACTCACAGAGATCCTCTTGTCTCTGCCTCCCAAGTGCTGGGATTAAAGGTGTGTGCTACTACTTCCCCGCTGAACTTTACATTTTTAAAGGGAGAATGAATGTATAATTTATATCGCTTAGCACTAATCATAAATTCAAAGATAAAGTGAACTGGGAGCTGGAGAGACAGCGCAGCAGTTAAGACCACCCGCCGCTCTTCCAGAGGACTTAGGTTCAATTCCTGTTACCCGCTTGGTGACTAACTGTCTGCAACTCTGGTTCCAAGCAATCTGACTTGCCTCCTCTGGCTTCCACAGGCAGCAGGCACACATGTGTTACAGATACACATTAAGGTAAAACATCTATACATATAAAATTAAAATTAAGAAACAAAACTGTTTACAAAAAAAAAAAGAACCAAACTCTTCCTCCTTCCCCCACATGACAAACTCCTTATATAATTATAATTTTTTTCTGAGATACAGCAGATATAGTATAAATTCCTACTCCAGAACAAAATCATTGAATCATATACTCTGTTTATTTGTCTTCTAGCACTTTCTCTCTCTCTCTCTCTCTCTCTCTCTCTCTCTCTCTCTCTCTCTCTCTCTCTGTCTTTCTCTGTCTCTCTCTCTGTTAAATATATAATCAAGTACCCAGAAAAAGTATAAAAAAACTTGGATTGTGAAGTGTTTTAAGTTAGCAGGGCTGGATAGCAGAGCTTGTTTCATTTAATTCCCAGGCATGAATAATTAAAAATATTAATGCTTGTGACCTACAGGAATGAGGTCCCTTGGTAGATATAAAGATTCTTTCCAGGGAAGTGAGTTTGGAGTAATTGGCTAAAGGCCACCTCAGGGGAATCTTTTAAGGGCTTTGCTAATCCCAGATTGGCATCAATTCATTGTCAGAATTGACTATCTATTACTTTAAAGGATCTGTCTGGTCTAAAGCAGGCAGGCCTGGCCTTACAGTATGAAACCAAGATGTAAGTGGTAATGTTAGAGGTTTTTTAGTTCTTTAGTGGTTTGGAGCATGGACCTAGGAATGAGACTAACCTTGGTTCCGATTACCATTGAGCTTCTGACAAATGGTATGACCCTGAGCAAATGAGCAGATTATGGATGACTTCTTCACAGAGCTCCAGGAAGGAAAAGATGGAATCAAAACAAGGCTACTGTAGTTCTGCTACTTAGCCAGGAATCCCGCTCATGTGGAGGCCTGCTAACATCTTTTTTTTCTGAGTCCCAATTAAATGTCAAGATTGTTTCCTTAGAATCATCAAAAGCCAGATGTCAAGAAAGCTTTTGTGGGTATCTGGGGATCTTTACTGTCACAGGAAATGACTTTAAACCCTTCCTACTGATATTTATTCTTTGTTTTTGTTCTTATTAGTGTTGTCTTGAGACACAGTTTCACTGTGTAGCCCAGAGTGCTCACTGTTATTAAATTGGTACAAGTTGGGGTCATCTAAGAATGAAGGAACCTCAATTAAGAAAATGTCTGTCATACTGGCCTGTAGGCAAATCTATGGGGGCATTTTCTTGGTTACTGATTGACGCTGGAAGGCCCAGCCTAGTTGGGTGGTGCTACCCCTGGGTAAGTGGTCCTGGGAAAAGAGCCAACTGAACAGGCAAGAAAGCAGGGTGGTCCTCCATGGTCTCTCCTTCAATTCCTCCTCAAACTCTTGCCTTGACCTCACTGGGTCAAGGTGACCTTTGACCTAAAGTGGAAGCTAAACAAGTCCTTTCCTTCCCAAGTAGCTTTTGGGCATGGTATTTATCACAATAAGAAATGAACTAGGACACCTAGCCTGGCTGGGAACTTGTTATATAGATGGCGCTAGCCTAAAACTTGCACAATCCTCCTGCCTCTGCCTTCTGTGTGTGAGATTACAGGTGCAAGCCACTGAGCCCAGGTATTCCACGGACGTTCACAAATGTCTTTGGGTTGCTATTGCTGTGATGAAACACCATGACCAAAGCAAGTTGAGGAGGAAAGGGTTCATTTAACTTATCTATACCGCTGTTCATCGTGGAAGGAAATCAACTCCTGGAAGGACAGGAACTCAAACAGGGCAGGAGTTAATGCAGAGGCCACAGAGGAGTACTGCTTACTGGCTTCCTCTTCATGGCTTTCTCAGCCTGCTTTTTAACAGAACCTGGACCACTAGCCCAGAGATGGCCCAGCCCATCAATCACTAAGAAAATATGCTACATATTTGCCTACAGCCTGATGTTATGGAGGCATTTTCTTAATTAAGGTTTCTTCCTCTCAAATGACTTTAGCTTGTGTCAAGTTGACATAGAACTAGTCAGTGCAATACTAGATTTGGGCTGTGCTAGTTCCTCATAGTAAGTGAAATGAGAGCGAAGGAAGCCCAAGAGAATACATGAGGGAAGAGTGGGATTAGTGGGAAAGGCATTTGAGAGAGTAAGGTTGCCAGAGGAAATAAAGAGAATGATTGAGATGAATAAAGAAAAAAGACAAAAGACAGATTCTAACGCATGTAAGAAAACAGAGAAAAATGACACAGGATAAATCAAAAGGAAGCACAGTTCTTGAGAGTGGACACGGATAAGGCACCTGCATTCTGATCCTGTTGAACCTCTCTCAGTCCACTTGTCCTTGGAATTTGTAGTGTGGGTTAGAGGATTGTTGCTCTGTCAATGAGCAAACTATTCAAAGAAGGGATCAAGAAGGGGAGCAGAAGGAGGGGACTAGTTGTCCGTTTTTTGTCACTTCAGGTGAAAACTTAAGAAAACCTCGGAGAATCGGACAATGTAAGTAGCTGTGGCTACTGCAGAACCTGCTCCTACTTGCTGAGTGCTGGCAACTTGATGTTGGATAACTTCATGCTATCGTAGCAGCATCGGAGGAGGCTGGACTAATATTATCCTCCTTTTATAGTAGAGGTTTCTTAAGTATATAGAAACTTTGTAGTTGTCGTGCAATTGGGAAATGCCTGCACAGGAATACACTTTGTTGATTTGAATAACTCAGGTGATTAAAATAATTTCTAAGCCTCTCCATAGGCCCTTAGTGAGTCTACAGTAAATTCGTGTTCTGGTTAGTCCGCAAATTTCTCGGTTAGATTTCCTGTTCTTCCAAAAATTCCAGTCAGTCGAAGTCTAACAGGCCTGGCTTCAGGGCATCCTTTCTCTTTCTAGTCAATTTGAAAACTCCGCCTCGCCAGAGAAAGCGTCTCGTCTCCAAGGAGACCGGCGCGGGACGGGACTTCCGGCCCCCACGCACACCCACTTCCGCCTCTGGCCGGAAGCGCTGAGGCAGACGGCGTGGGTCTGGCGCTGGGGAACCTGGCGCGTGCGTAGCGGGCCCGTGGTGGCTCCAGACGCGCGGCGATGCTGACCCCCGCGTTCGAGCTGAGCCAGGACCGCGACTTCCTCACGGTCGCCATCCGCGTGCCGCACGCGCGCGCCTCCGAGTTCGACGTGTACTTCGAGGGGGTGGACTTCAAGTTCTACGCCAAGCCCTACTTTCTGAGGCGAGTTCCCGCCGCCTGCGCCCTGCGTTTACTCGGGAACCCGCGCTCGCGGACACACTCGCGGGGCTCTCGCCGCTGCCTCGGCGGCTTTTCCCTGGCGCGCGGTCTCCCGCGCAATCGCCTCCTTCCTCATCTGCCCATCTCACCACCGGGCACGGGAGCACCCACCCAGTGTCTGTCCTGTCACCCTCGGTCCTTCCTGTCTTGTGCTGTTCTCTCGCTGCACGCCCACGCCTCTCCCCCGCGCGGTGACTTCTCCGCAGGGTCGGCCTTTTGGCACGCTTTCCGTGTCCGCCTCCTAGCGGAACGCTTTCTGCTCCCTGCGGTTCTCAGGTTCCCTTCGCATCAGTTTAGCCGATTTATGCCTGGCTACCACGAGAGGCGAGTAATAGTTTTAGCACTTGCCCGTCTGGATTTTTCTCCGTGTTGAACCAAAACAGTAGTGGCAGCTTACACGGGAGCGCCCTTTGATGTAGTAGGTACGCAGCGTCTTAAGTGCTTGCAAGTGCGTCACCTTAATTTTGATAGCCACAGTTTGAGTTAGGCAGTACTGTGAGCCCCCTTGTGCGGTGGACGCTGTTAGTCTTCTTAAACTTGTTCATCCGTTGCCCTCCGCTTTTCAGCTGAGCGCTCCGCTGCAGTCAAGCTGGTTTCTTCACGGCTCTTGACTCTTATCTAACCACTAAGATATTAATTAGCATGCCAACTTGAAAATCCAACCTATGGAACTGTGGATAGTAATGAACCATGTAGAAACTATTTTTCCTATACCCATAAACCTTGGATGTCGTTTTATTTATAAACTAAGTTAAAATAAACTTAACTGCATTTAACAACTACCGTTTATTATGAAGTTCTCCCCCCCCCCCCCCGCGCCCTGTCTGTTTGGTGGCTAAAGTATTCAAATAGAAAGATGTGTCATGTTTGATTTTTACTTTCTTAGCTGAAGGAATCTAAGTTATTTAGCTTTTAAAATGTGAAAGATATCTGAAAATTGCCATTCAAATGGTTGATAGATTTTGTTTTTCGAAACAGGATTTCTCTGTCTCTAGCTGACCTGGAAATAGATCTGTAGACCAGGCTGGCCTCAGACTCACAGAGATCCGCCTGCTGGGATTAAAGGCCCGCACCACCCACCTAGTGGTGGTTGATAGATTTTGTTGGCTAAATATATACTGTGTTTGGTGATCACTTACCTTGTGTTAAATCTGCAGATTAACGCTTCCTGGAAGGATTGTGGAAAATGGAAGTGAGCAGGGGTCCTATGATGTGGATAAAGGTATGGCCTTTGGGGTTTTGAATAGGTTTTTCTCTATTTTTTTTATGTGTGTGTATGCTGGTGTTGCTAAACTTCCTTCCCCAAGAGATGCCATCTACCTCTCCTAAGGTCTCACTGATAAACTAGGTGTGATTCCACCGAAGTTCCCTAGGGGAACCATTGAGTTCACTAGGTTTACAGAGTAGTGGGTATGGGGTTATGGGCAGGAACATAGATCCCGAAGTAGCCACAGTAGAAGTCTACATGGCTTCCCCAGGGCTGCATAGCTAATTCCCTCCCTTTATCCTATGCTCTAGCCCCTCCTCCAAGACCACATGTAGTTGGGACAGAATTGTTTCGTATACTGGTTGTGGGGTAGGGGCTGGGGTGGTGGATGAATAATCAGGTGAGGGTTCCATGACCCCACCCCCCCTGTGAGGCAAGGTAAAATAGTCCACAGGCCCAGCTTTGATGGCGGTTTGTGAGCAGGCCCTCCAGAACTGAAGATGGTGGCAGTTTGACTCGGAGCACAGTACTATACAACAGCATAAGTAGGTGTAGATGGGCATGTTGGGAGGCGCTTGTGGGTGGGGGGTGGGGTCGTGTGTGCGGGTGTGCAAATGGAAGCCAAAGAACAACCTCTGATGTCATCTGAAGGAATTCTTTTTAGACAGGGTTTCTCACTTGCTTGTTGCTTATTGGGCTAGACAGTCTGGGCAGTGAGCCTCTGAATACTCTTGTGTGCTCCCCAGCTCCAGGATTACAAACATGCCCCGCTGCTCCTTATGTTTTGTCTGGGTTCTGGGAACCAAACGCAGGTCCTCCTGCCTGTATGGCAAGTGCTTTACTCACTGAGCCGTAGGCCCAGCCCCAGCCAGGGCTTTGTGGATTCCTACATAGCCACACAGCAGTATCCTTAAAGACGCCACGGGGACTTTTAGATGTCGAGACATTGCCATATGCTACATAACTCTTCTTTAATGTCTAGTGCCTGTTATCTGGATTTGGGGCAGTTATAACAGTTTTCTGTCTTTTAAAATATTTTTCAAGAATCTTTACATTTGAATCAAATGTTCTAGTTCCATTTTTTCAGGAATTGTTTCTACATTTGGGACATGTGTAGAAGTAAACATCAACATGAAATGATTGATTTTAAAATATGAAGGATTTATGAGCTTTTGGGTGGAATTTTTCTTTTATAGTTTTCAAACTTGGATTTTTAATTACAGGCAGTTGAGAAATTATCCATGGAAGAAATTTAATGAGGAATTGAATTTTCTTTTTGTGATTGATAAGTCTCCATTTTAGCTTGCCACAGAACCTGTTTATTTTACTCTTCTGCAAGCTATTGTCTTTTCCTTTGTCACTGGATTTGGAGTAAGAGTCTCTTGTAGAGCCAGCAGAGTAGCTCGGTAGGTAAAGGTGCTTGTCTAGTAAACCTGGCAGCCTGAGTTTGGTTTCCAGAACCCATGAAAATGTAAAGGAGAAAACTGACTCCACAGAGCTCTGCCCTGAATACCACACATAAATCATAGCCCAACTCCCCTCAACCCACACACATGTGCACGTACAGTAATAATAATTTTTTAGTTCAAAAAGAGTAATTTATATACACTTGTATAATTTATTCAGTAACTATTGACCAGGAAGTAGGGTAAAGGAGGGAAAATGAGACTGAGAAACTTAGGATCAAATTCCCACCCTGAATGCAGTATAACTGTTGTGATATTGAGGTATAAGGAAGCTGCCATCCTAGATTGTGGATCTGTCTTTAGTTGCCAATCAGTTACATATAACAATGAGATTATTAAACTTTATTGCTGGAGAGATAGCTCAGCTACTAAGTGCATACATATGCTGCTTTTGCAGAGGATCTAAGTTTCTGGCTTGTGGTACACAGAGGCTTACAGTTACCTGTAATTTCAGCTCCAGGGAATCTGACACCCTCTTGTGGCTTTCGTTGGCACTTGTACTCGCATGTATATATTAAAAAAAATAAAACTGTAAAGTTCTTAAAGCTGAGGAGTTGTATATGTGTGGGCCTTTGGGTTGAATTGCATTTGGTTTATTGGATTGCTAAAAGAGGTAAAATGTTTTAAAACAGTAGACTGGAAATAGGGGCACACACTTGTAATCCTGGTGCCCAGGAACCTAAGGTAGGAACATAATTTCATGTGAATTTGAGGCTAGCCAGGGCCACAGAGCAAGGCTGTCTCAAGGGAAAAAAATCTCTTGAGTTAATAAAGAAATTATTAAATTGCAATTACTTTAGTGTAGTTTGAAAGCCACGGCTGTTCTTTGGATTAGCTATTCTAATTCCCTCCTAGTCCAAAAATGTATTTCATAAATAACTGTTGGTTAGTGCTGTTGCCTCCTCAGGCCCCTGAATTTTAGGAACCTTTGTTTTGATGTTTTGACTAAGTTAAGATGGTACAAGGTAACACCAACACATTCTGTGGTTTGGACACATTGATTTCTGATCGCAGTGGCAGCTTTGGAAAAGCCCTTCTTAAGACTTTTTTAAAATCTTGATTTATAGTCACTAAATCTATAATAAAGGTCAAATTTTGAAACCCCTTGAGGAATTATGTTTTTTAAGTTTAAATTGTTAGATGTTTTTGTTAAACAGCTATGTTTATTGGTGTATATTCATTGCAGAAGGGTGTTAAGCTTTATGAGAAGCTTCTTTCATGTACATCATGTATTCCAACCATGTTCATCACCCGAGGTCTTTTCTTTTCCCTTTCCCCTTCTCCCCTTTTCTTCTCCTGCTAGTGTCCTTGCCCCTGGTTTTCCTCTGCTTTCATGTCTCATACACAAGGACATACCCATACTCAAACACACATGCACACATGCCCGCAAGTGCACACAACCACACCCACAGAGAGATGTGTATTATCATCTGTCTGTCTCTCTGTCTGTCTGGTTTATGCATCTATAAAAAGCCACTTTGGTCCACAAATGAGACAAAGCATATTTGTCCTTCTGTGTCTGGCTTATGTCACTTAATATGATCTTTGTTTTTTTGTAAGTGACATCATTTTTTTAAATGAATGAGTAAAAGTCTGTTGCGTAGATATACATTTTCTTTGTTTATCTGTTGATGGGCACCTAGACTGAGTTGTGGTGAATGTGCTGCAGGGAATTTAGATATGCAGGTGTCTCTGTGGTGTGATGACTTGGACTCCTTAGGGTATATACCTAGGAGTGGTAGCTGGGTAGTATGGTGATTCTAGTTTTAGTATTCTGGGGGCCATTCTTATTCTGAGCTGCTGAGATTAGTTTATATTCTCACCAGCGGTGAATAAGGGATCACTTCTCTACATCTTTGCCACCATTTGCTGTTGTGTTTTCTTTGTAAGAGCCATTCTGACTGAGCTGAGATGGAATCTCAGTGTACTTTTAATTTGCATTTCCTTTTTGGCTAAGGATGCTGAGCATTTTTTTCCATGTGTTTATTTGCCATTTGGTTAGGTTGCTTGGTTTTTTTCCTTTGTGTGTTTATGTCTATAAGTATGGTTTGTGTTGTGGAATATTATAACTATGTAAAGATGTGTTACATTTGTTACAGTATGTTGTGGAATACTACTTTATGTAAAGATGTGTTATGTTTGTTTATGCTGCGTTTGTTTAATTATGTAAAGATGTGTTGCTGTTTCACCTTGCCTGCCTAAGGCGCCTGATTGGTCTAATAAAAAGCTGAATGGTTAATAGCTAGGCAGTAGAGGGATAGTAGGGCTGGTGAGCAGAGAGAATAACTAGGAGGAGGAGTCTAGACTGGAGAGAAGAGAGAACAAGGGAGGTGCCTAGGACCTGCTGGCCAGGTATCCCCCAGCCAGGGAGCCACTCGAGAAGCAGAAACAGTAGGGCAAATAGAATGAAAGAAAGGTAAAAAGTCCTAGGGCAAAATATAGATGAAGAGAAACAGGTTAGTTTAAGTTATAAGAGCTAGTGGGATAAGCATAAGATAAGGCCAAACATTCATAACTATTAAGTCTCCATGTTTTGATTTGGGAGCTGGTTGGTGGCCCAAAAGAAAGCCTGCTACAGGCTAGTTAGTACCTGTGTATGTGTTCATGTGTGTTGTAGGAGGCCGCTTGTTCGTTTCCGGCTGCTCAGATGCAAAATAATCACACAGAAACTGTATTAATTAAATCACTGCTTGGCCCATTAGCTCTAGCTTCTTATTGGCTAACTCTTACATCTTAATTTAACCCATTTCTATTATTTTATATTTTACCATGAGGCTCCTGTCCTACCGGCAGAGTTCCAACTGGCAGCTCGTGTTTCCCCTTTGGTGGCTACATGGTGTCTCCTGACTCCGCCTTCTTTCTCCCAGCAGTTAGTTTAGTTTTCCCCACCTAGCTCTGTTCTGCCCTGCTATTGGCCCAAAGCAGTTTCTTTATTAATCAGTGGTAATCACAGCATACAGAGGGGAGTTCACATCACATGTGTGTATGTGCATATGGATATAGATCAGAGGTTGACTTAAGGTGTCTTTAAAGTCCACTTCATTTTTGAGACAAGGTCTTTCCCTGAACCTGGAACTTGCTGCTTCAGCTTGGCCAGCAGCCCAGGGTTCTTCCTGTCTCCACTTCTCTAGCACTGGGATTATAGCTATTTGCTGTTGTACTCAGTTTATTGTATATGTGCTGGAGATTCAAACTTAGATCCTGGGTTGTGGGAGAAACAATACCTAAACTGGGTCATTTTTCCAGCCTGAGTATTTTGTGTTTGAGTTCTTTATATGTTCTAGATAGTAATTCTCTTCAGATGTATAGTTAAAATTTTTTCCTCATATAATTATATATTATTCCTACTTGCATTTCTCTTACATATACTTACTGAAGTCTTTGAATATTTTAATCTATCTAAATATAAAACAATTTCTCTTAAAGGAATTTTTACCATTCGATTGCCCAAGGAAACTCCTGGTCAGCATTTTGAGGGGCTGAACATGTTAACTGCTCTTCTGGCACCAAGAAAATCGAGGTCTGCCAAACCACTTGTGGAAGAAATAGGTATGTTTGCTGTAGTTGGGAGGAGATGAAGATAAGTAGGAATATTTGTAATATTTTGTTTTTCTAGGAAAAGAGACTTGGGGCCCGAAAATTAGAGGAAAAAAGTTCAAGAGAAGACAATAAAAAGGAAAGGTTAAAGTCACTCTGAAAATAGCTTATCTGGTATCACAATTAGAAGTCATAACCAGTAGTGGACCAGCAGACCAGTCACATTTTTCTTTACCAATTAAAACATCTTGCTAGAAGTAGATAGTTGAAAACATTTTATAATATGAGCACCTGCTAGGTCACAAACTATAGTGTTTATTTCCAATATCCTGGACTCCCACCCATGCTCTTCCCAGGCTCTGTCCCCTCTTCTTTCCTAGACCACCAGTGCCTTCTCCTTGGCCTGACTGTGAGTTGCATGCACAATTATTCTTAGAGTGTGTTTCTTTTTGTCTGGCTTCTTACTCTATGTTCTCATGAGGCATATCTGTGTTACATATATCTATATCATCTATCTATATATCTATATATATCTTCATCATGATTTTGTGAGTTTCTCTATATCTCCTCCTGTTGGTGCACATTTATGGTGGCTCTGCTTTTTGGCCATCACGAGCAGTGGGGCTGTGGTTATTCTTGTCTGTGCCTTTGGTGTAAAATGGGAGGCCTTTTCCCCATGGTGGCTTCCTGTTCTCATTGTACCTAGACACCTCAGTACTTTAAAGAAAAAATTAATGTTGAACGCATTTAGGTTCTTCTGGAGTTTCTGAGGAAGGAGCTGATGATGAGGATGCAGACTTTGACTGGGAAATCGAGCAGACTCCCTATGAAGAGGTCTCAGAAAGCGCTCTGCAATCACAGTGTCACTACGGATTTGGAAACCTGCGGGCAGGTGTGGTTCAGCGGTTACAGGTATGCTGTCCTGGAAGACAATGGCACACAGGGTTTTCAACTTTATTTCTGCTCACCCAGGGCATTTTTAAGGTGACATAGTTAGTGCCTGTAGCAAGCAGGGTCACACAGCTGTCCATTCTTCCTTGTCCAGCCTGCTGCTATCCTTATGGTTCTGGATAGGAACAATCTAGAACAAATACAAACAACCACTCTCTCCTGGTGCTTCTGTACAGCCTTAAGGAAGCATGATACACCTAAGGATGGAGAGCATGTACTAGGGTGTGATACAGCTTCTGTTTCACGTGTGCAGGAGACAGGATTTCCTGATGAGGACCAGCCTAGGAGCTTTTTGTTTAGTTTTTCTTGTTCTTATTTTAAATTTGGTGGCTGAATGTATGTATATGTGTGTGTATGTATGTATATACATGTATGTATATATGTACACTTGTGTCTATGTATGTATGTATGTTTGTTTACCACAAATTCACCTGGTATCTGCAGAGGATATATGTACACACACACACAAATGGATGTAGATAAATAGATAGAGATATTGATGTAGATATAGTTTGGGTTCTCTTTAAGTTTGTAATCCCTCTACTTCAGTCTTTCATGGGATTACAGGCATGCTCCTCCTCTAGATTGTGTTTTGGTAAGATTTTTAAGTTCTTAGTACACAGTAAATATTGTATTCCGCTTATTCTTGGTGGAGATCAAATGTAAACTTTCATTTGAGTGCTGCTTATGAAATTTCAGTTTTTGCAATGTTTTGAGTCTTAGGTTTTCCCATGAGTGATGTTCAGGAAATAAGGTGTATCTGAGTCTGTCAAGAAAAACCTGGGAGCTGGGCGGTGGTGGTGGCGCACGCCTTTAATCCCAGCACTCGGGAGGCAGAGGCAGGCGGATCTCTATGAGTTCGAGACCAGCCTGGTCTACAGAGCTAGTTCCAGGACAGGCTCCAAAGCCACAGAGAAACCGTCTCGAAAAACCAAAAAAAAAGAAAGAGAGAGAGAGAGAGAGAGAGAGAGAGAGAGAGAGAGAGAGAGAGAAGAAAGGAAGGAAGGAAGGAAGGAAGGAAGGAAGGAAGGAAGGAAGGAAGGAAGGAAGGAAGGAAAAACCTGGGAGTCTATATTCTGGTTGTACTTGTGCCTCCGTTTAGATTTGGGATACTGTGATGATCACTGACCACAAGTAACTTGTTCTGTCTTGGTAAAATGGGAATGATTTAAAAATATCATGAAATACTGAAAACTTAAGAGAAAATTCTGGAAAGTGTTGGGCATTATAAAGACTCCTGCCCTTGAAACATTGAAGTTACTCTCAAGATTCCTGCAAGAAAATAAAATTGGCATTTACCCTGTAGCAAATAAGCCAAAGAAACGTGTGTGTAAAAGCTTGGGCACTTTTCTGCCATACGTGGCGTGCCCTCTGCTGCTCTGGTCCCTTGTTTTCATGGTGATCTCTGAGGTACTTAGAATGGAGTAGGCTTCATGCAGCTCTGGCAGAAACCAAAGTACATGGGCTTCAGTTGTTTGGCCAACAGCGGCTAATTTGTGATCATTTTATTTGGGGCTGCCTGTTCAGAGCTACAAATGAAGGCTAGTACGTGCCATACAGGCTGAGTCCAGAATCTTCATTCAGGTGAACAGTGCCCCTGTCCAGATTGCTGGTAGGGAAGATTCCTTTGAGGTCGTTGCTTACTTGCTTTGGTGTTTGGAAACAATCTCACTATGTAGCTGGCCTTGAACCTAGACTCTTCTTGCCTCAGCTTTCCAAATGTACAAAGTGTGACCACTTAGAAGGGATTCTTCTTGCTTAGGGAATACAACAGAACCATAGTTTAGATGAGGCCAAGTCCCTTTTAGGTTAAAAGTTTTTATATTTATTGAAAAGATTTTAAAAGTTATTTAGGTTGCTTTTAAGCAAACATTGTCATGAAGTACTCTTTATTTTTTGATATGGGGTCTTAGGTATCCTAAGCTGTCCTGGAACTCACTAAGTTGCTGAGCTTGGCCTTAAATTTCTGATTCTCCTGCCTCCCCTACTGAAGCCTTGGGAGCACAAATGCATAACATGGCACCTAGATTTTATTGTAAAAAGTGGTACTATGAAACATTAAAGTTATATATATTCTTGGGAATAGAATGTTATTTCAGGGCATGTATGTAGGTAGTACTCTGTGTCTGTCTGAATGGTGAAACTAAAGCATCAGACGCCTATATACCTGCCACTCAGACTAGAAATGGAAGTATTGGTGTAGTTAGGATGCCCTGTCCATCCCTTTATGTTTACATCTTTTCTTTCTCAATCAGAAATACTGTTTTTTTATTTAGATTAACTATCTAAAATTGCTAAACTCTTTTTTTCAAACATTAATAGCATGAACATTGTTTTTCTAAAACTCACTTTAGAAAGAGAAGGACGCTTGAATGAGTGGACTAGAGGGTTTTAGAATGTGCGCGGTGTCCTGCAACAGTAGTGGCTTGCCACCCCGTGCACAGAGCACTGAAATTCCAGACACTCTCAGAATCTCCAGTTTCCACATATGTTTAATTTGTCACCAAAACCTTATCTGAAACCACATAGTTTTGTTCTAGTTTCTCTCTTTCTACTTTTTTCTTTCTTTCTTTCTTGCCTTTCTTTCCTTCCTTCTTTCTTTCTTTCTTTCTTTCTTTCTTCTTTCTTTCTTTCTTTCTTTCTTTCTTTCTTTCTTTCTTTCTTTCTTTCTTTCTTTCTTTCTGAGACAAGTTCTCACTTTGTAAGTCAGGCTGGCCTTCAACTTTTGGTAATCCTCCTGTTTCAGTGTTACCATACCCAGCTGGTTCTCCCAATGTTTTATTTAATTTTAAAATTTATTATTATTGTGTTTGTGTATATATGTGTATGACTCATGCATGTGAGTGCAGGTACGTTTGTTATAGCATGTATGTGGAGATCAGAGGATAGTTTTCAGAATTCATTTTTTTCTCTATACCGTGGGTTCTAGGGATCAAACTCAGGTTATCAGGCTAGCACAGTTTCTGTTGGCTGTGGTAAAATATCTTGACCAAAGGCAACTTAGGAAAGAAAAAGTTTATTTGAACTTACGGTTCTAGAGGGAGGGTCTCTGATGGTAAGCAGGGCATGGCATGGTGGCAGGAACAGGAGGCAGGCTATTCACAGTTCCTTTCTACACACAGGAAGCAGAGAGAGGGAGCGAGAAGTGGGAAGAGACTATACACTCTCTCGAAGTTTCTTCTTACAAGGTTTCACATCTTTAAAGACCTATAACCTGTCCATACTAGTTGTTGACCAAGTGTTGATATGTCTGAGCCTGTGGGGGACTTTTGCCATTCAAACCACCACACATGGCAAGTGATTTTACCGACTGAGCCATCTCTCCAGCCCCCCCCCCCAGTACATTTTAAAAGCTATTTTAAGCTACATACTTAGTGTGTGGGTCTGAATTATTACTGTGAAGTAGTAATGTGCTTGGATAGCAAGTGCTACCACGGCCTTCTACCACACTGTTTGTTCTCGAACACCTTTTCAGTCCAGAGTTCCAAACCTGAAGCCACCAAGTTGGGATTTATGTGGATCTGTCTGCGCCAGCTAAACAATACTGGCTTCTCAGGGCATCTTTACTACAGTGTCTGCACTTTTTACCAGGAGGCAGATCCAGTAAAAAGCTTTAAAGAAAATGGGACTTTCTGCATGAATTAAATTTGAGGGATATGGTGTTCTTCATAACATTAGGAATTAATCAGACTTTCAAAAATCATAGTAAGGTTTATATGTTTTATCAGCTGCGTTTACAGCTGCTGTTTGTGATGGTCACATCGAGTGGCTAAAAAGTGACCATGTAACATAAACAGTGCTGCCCTCTTTCTTTTCGTGAAGAAGCTATAGTGTGCCTAGAAGAGGTCACCACACCGTAAGAGGATTCAGAACATTTGTCTCAAAATATAATTTAAAAAATGACTTTTCTAATACTGTGTTTTCTAACAATTTTAGTTTCTGTAATTTCTGCATTTGGATCAAGACCCACGCAAAACATTTGTTCACTACTTGCATTTTGCCAGTATTTCCTTATTTTTTTTAAATGAAAATAGTTTTGTTTTCTCTGATGATGAAAGCAGTGTTCTCATTAAAAAATGTAACACAAAGAAAAATGTCTTCAGTGAATAATTTAACTCTTTACAGGAAGAATAATCCTGTCTCCTTTTAAAAAGGTTCGCAGCTTCTCTGTTTTACCTGATAATGAAAATATTACTGCTGAAGCAAATTCTCTCCCCACCCTCCCCACCCCTGCTTCCCATGTACATACACACACCCGACTTCTTGCCTTTCTTGAAATCTCTGCCAGCCACCAGGGCGCATTTGGAAAACTGCCCTGGCTGCTCAGAGTCAGGGCTGCACAACAAGCTGTTGGCGTTGGTGGCTGCCAGAAGCCGCAGCCCTGGAGTCTCTGGGCGCCATCCCAGTCAGCCGTCTCCTGAGACGGCCTTGTTGCAGGATGCCAGGCCTTCTGGCCCTTGCTTTTCTTTGGCTGCTTCAGGGACCTGAGGTCTTTGTCTCCAGGAGACACACTGGCCAGATGCAGACACAGTGCATTTTCTTTCCAGATTGGGTCCTGTTTGATCTGTGATTTAAGTGTACACAAGCCTGGCTTAAATCCTCTGTGACCTTTTCCTGGCAGTGTTCATCTTCAGATCACTCGGGACTAGTGACCACAGCAATTCTAAAAGAGAGAAAAAGGAATTCTTTTCTTTCTGCTGAAGTTCATTCTCTTTTCTTCCTTTCCTTGAGTTGATTGATGCCTCAGACTTTTCTTCTGTAGTGGTAAGGATTGAATCCAGGACCGCATGCATTCTAAGCAAGTGCTCTACCTCCAGACTGTGCCTCCAACCATGCCTTACTTTAGATTCCAGTCTAATTTTGTGCCCGGCCCCTTTAGTTTCTTATTAGGGTCCAGTTTGAGCAAGGCCATGGTATGTATGTGCATAGAACAGTGCAGGTGGGGTGGCCCAGATGGGAATAGTCACATGGTGTGATCTCTCTGCTGCATTGCTGTGGTGGCCTTGAGTCAGTAGACTAGCGGGGAGCAGAGCTGGGGCTGCAAAGAGTTGCTTTTTTTCCAGTTCATCCCATGAAGTTGGGGACTTTATATGTATACTCAGTACTGGATCTCTATTCCAGCAACCAGACCAGTGCACAGCCTCTGCACTATGCACTCGGTAGTGATTTCTTTCTGACTGCCAAACACACTATTCTAGTTAGGGTTACGATTGCTGTAATGAAACACCATCACCAAAAGCAAGTTGGGGAGGAAAGGGTTTATTTGGCTTACACTTCCACTGAAGGAAACCGAGACAGAAACTCAAATAGGGTAGGAAACTGGAGGCAGGAACTGATGCAGAGGCCGTGGAGGAGTGCTGCTTACTGGTTTGCTCCTCATGGCTTCTAAACCTGCTTATAGAGCCCAGAGATGGCACCACCCCTAAGAGCTGGGCCTTCCATTATCAGTGACTAAGAGAATGTCCTACCGGCTTTTCTACAGCCTGGTCTTCTGGAGACGTTGTCTCAAATGAGACTCCATTTCTCTGATAACTATAGTTTATGATAGCTGGGCAGTGGTGATGCATGCCTTTAATCTTGGCAGAAGCAGGCAGATCTCTGAGTTCGAGACCAGGGTGGTCTACAGAGTGAGTTCCAGGATAGACAAGGCTACACAGAGAAACCTTGTCTTGAAATATCAAAACGCAAAACTATAGTTTGTGTTAAGCTAACATAAATTAGCCACTACACACTGAGTGCGCAGTGAAAAAGAAGGTACACTAGACCCCTCCCCATGAAACATTCTATGGAGAAGATGGACAGTCATCAGGTAGACGGTAAATAGGCTAATGGCAATAGTAGCAGGTGGAAGAAAATGGTGGTATATGAGCCTGGGGACCGTTTTGATGAGGATGCCCAGAGGAGGCCCCTTGGAGGATGGGCCATGCATGGAGTTATGATGACAAGGGCACTGTAGATGCAGAGGGTCAGAGTGGAGACAGATGTATATGGCCTAGTGGACTTGGGCCAGAGGGAAAGGCTGGCATTGGTTTGAAAGGCAATCTGGGCTTGTGATGTAGAACAAGGAATCTGGGTTCTGAGAGACCGTTTACCCTCTGAAACAGAGTTTTCAGCCCATTCACGACAAGTCTGTCCAGGTGCAATAATTAGTTGTTCTCCCCTCTCCCCTTCCCACACAACTCACTTTGATTACTGCTAGCGAGTAAGGAAACTGAAGGGGAAGGAGGATTTGTGTTCTCAGTAGAAGCCCGTGAGTAACAGGGAACAGCCATGGAACGGAGACAGAGAGAACAGGGAATCTGACATTAGTGAGTGCGTTGAGGCCTGTATTATATTGTTTAATATTAATAGTAGGTGTGGCTCCAAATGTCATTCCCTTCCCCAAGAAGAGCAAACGATGCCATGTGATTACTTGTCCTGTGAAGGTTTTACATTACATGGCAGAAGAACTTGGCAGCTGTGATTAAAGAGGCTATCGACATGGATTTTTTATGTGGGCCCCTCTAATCACAGAGGGAGGAGATGAGGCCATGTGATGAACTGAGGGAGGGATTATGCCATGTTGTGGATTCATTGTCCTGCCTCCCCTCCCGAGGTTTTTGTCCACATGCGCCCTAGCCTCCACGAGGGAAGAAGAGCCAATGCTGTGCTTCTGGGGAGAAAGTGTTCTGGTGGATTCAGCTGCAGAGACTGCGAGTTTTTCCCATGGTAACTTTGCTGCATGCTTGTTGAGCTCTTTGCATCATGACTGTTCTGTTTCAATTTACTATGAGTTGCATAAACTTGAGGGCTGCCCTGAGACTCTTAACTACTGTTTATAATAGGATTTCTGTAGGAAAATGCATTCCAAGTCTGCAAGAAGTAAACTGCAAAGGAACTTTGGAATGTAAATTTTATGTTTGTGGACAGCCATTAGTCTGGTTGTTGCCCTCAGATGTTTGTATTTGAAAGTATTAAGATATTCTAGTTGATCTAGTAGCTTCCAGAAAGGTCACTGGATCCCTTCATTAATATCTGAATGTACTTCGGTTAAAACCTACACGCTTTGTGGTAAGAAAGGAAGAGTTTATTTAGTTTTAGACTTTATAGATATTTATTTATTTGGTGTGAGTATGTGTGCCTGTACCTGTTTACATGCATGGTTTTCAGGAGGAGGTCAGAGGACAGTTTTTGGGTCAGTTCTCTCCTTCCACCGTGAGGGTCCGGGGGATTGAACTCAGTCAGTTTACCCACTGAGCCATTTCTCTGGCCCCAGAACGCTTTTTTGTTGTTTGTTTGTTTAGAAATTATGGTTGTGTAGGGAGACTGGTTGTGATGTCTCCCCATAGACTAGTTTTAGTAAGCTTGCATTCTGACCATCAACTCTAAAGTGTGCTCATATCACTGTTTCGTTCTTTTTTTTTTTTTAGATGACATAAAAAGTGAAGGGACTTGCTCAATATCCTCGGACTACTGACTTGAAAGGCTTTGTCTCTGTTTTCTTTTTGTGTATGTGATTCCCTTTACTGCTGTCTTTTCCATTTACAAGTCACATGCACAGCTCTCCCAGGTTACCGCTTGGTTGCGTTCGGCTTGCATCCTGTATGTTCCTTCCAGTTCTGTGCTTACCTGGAGGTGATAGATGTGTGAGCAGACACAGCAGAAAGCCACAATGTGGGGAGTATTTTGGATTGTTTGAGGTTTCTTCACTTTACAATTCCTGCGTGTGTCTGTTCTGTAGAATTCTGCTTGGGAAACACGCTTAGATTTTTAAACTTTCAAGTGGAAAGTCAAAGACCAGAATTACTCCTAAAAATCCTTAATTTTTTTTTTTTTTTTAATTTGTGCCTGTGGAAATGGAGGTCAGAGGCCAGCTTCATGGAGTTGATCTTCTTCATCTATTGCTATGTGGTTTCCAAGAACTGAACTCAGGTGGTCAGGTCTGCATGGCAAGCATATTTACAAAGTAGACAGTACAGGGTTTCTTTCTTTGAGCTAGACAGTGGGAAGAAAGCCAAGTCTCTCTGTAGATGTGGGATACTCACACCCTCCTTTCTTCAGGAACTTTCAGATTTCTGGGGCTAAAAGGGGAAATGAATGGAAAATTAAATGTTCTTACATGTTTGTAAGAGTGTATTCAATTCTGCTTCTTGGTTAATTTTTTTTTTTTTTTTTAGACAGAGTTTCTCTGTAGCTTTAGAGCCTGTCCTGAAACTAGCTTTGTAGATCAGGCTGGCCTCGAACTCACAGAGATCCATCTGCCTCTGCCTCCCAAGTGCTTGGATTAAAGGCATGCGCCACCACCACCCCGCTTTGGTTTAAAATTTTCAACTAACTAAATATGAGTGTATATGCTTGTGTGTGTGCGCACACACACATGCACCTGCTAGAGCATGGTGGAAGTTGTATGCCCCAGGATGTCTGTAGAGTCATGATGACAACTTCTTGGAGTTTTCTCCCCTTCTACTTTGTAGGTTCTAGGGATCAGGTGGTCAGGCTTTATATTAAATGTTAATAAAATATCGCTATAAATAGATTCAAAAATTTATGGCTTTTTATTTGTTTGTTTGATTTTACATTTTGTGTTTTGCAACAGGATCTCATTGTGTAGCTCTGGCTGGCTTGGGACTTGCTATGTAGAATAGACTGGCCTTGAACTCAGAGAGATCTGCCCAACTCTGCCTACCAAGTGCTGGAAGCAAAGGCATGCTCTACACCTCTTTGTTAGATCTGAATTTAAATATTACAATCTGTTTCATACTCTAGGGATAGTAGTCAGGCAGATTCTTCCATGCTTTGATGTTCCTCCTCCCTTCTCCCAGTTTGGTTTTATATATAATATATATTGTGAGACAGGATATCTCTGTAACAGCCCTAGTTGTCCTATAACTCTCTTTGTAGACCAGGCTTTAAACTCATAGAGATACCCCTGTCTCTGCCTCTCCAATTGCTAATATTTAAGGCATGCACCTCCATGCCTGGCTCATTTATTTATTTTTATGTGTATTGATGTTTTGCCTGCATGTGTGTCAGTGTGAGGGTACCAGATTCCCTGGAACTGGAGTTACAAATAGTTGTGATCTGGGTGCTAGGAATTGAACCTGAGACCTTTGGAAAGCTGCAAGAGCTCTTAACCACTGAGCCATCTCCTCACTCCAACCCCTCATTTGACTTTTAAATGCTAAAAGATTGGAGATAGTTTTCATTCTTGTTCTGGTGTTTTTAGGATGAACTGAGCGAGGTTATTGATATTAAGGATCCAGATTTCACTCCTGCGACTGAACGAAGGCAGAAACGCCTGGCTGCTGAGCTGGCCAAATTTGACCCGGATCATTATCTGTGAGTATTAACTTTCGTAGCAGTTAAATAGGTATTTAACTCTTCCTTAAATTTTTTTTTCAGAATCTGTGAGTATATGTATGTGTTTGTATAGTTATGTGTGCATGTGCACATGGAAGCCAAACCTGACAGTGGGTGACTTCTTGAGTCATTCTGCTTTATCTCCAGAGACAGGGTCTCACTGAATCCAGAGCTCACCCATTCAGCTAGGCTGGCCCATCAGGCCTGGCCAGTTCGCTCCAAGAATCCACCCATCTCTTGTCTTCCCTGCACTGGGCTATAGTGCTGGAAAGTGCTCGGGATCTGAACACAGGTCCTTGTGTTTGCATGGCAAGCACTCTACTACTAAGTGAGCCGTCTCCCCGGCCCCTCAGTGTCCCAAACAACGTGCTTTAGATCCTGGAATTAGTGAAGGCACTAACCCTAATTCACGTTTCACCTAACCTGTACTTGTGGGGCCTTTGTAAACTTGCTACTTAGTTTATACTAGCAAGGGAGCACTCTTAATACTCTTTTGTGGTTTCCTTACCAGACTTCACCACATCAAACTCATAAGAGTGTTTGCTTGTACTTCTTACAGGTAGAATTTTTGCCATAGTTATTTGTATATGTGAATGAATATGTGTTGATTTCCATTAGAATCCAGGTCTACGTGTGCTATATTTCTTGCTAGTCTGGGATCTTCCTAGAACATTATCTACAGTGACTAGATAGTTACTCTTGGAAGAGCATCATTAGAACTCAGTCTTAGTTCTGCTGTATTTTCCTCCTGCATCTGTTGTGACCTTTGCCGTAACCAGAACTATATTTGCATAAGGAACTTATCAAAGTAGAGATGTGCTGTCTCTTACTGGCCAAGGTAGCAGCACTTCTTTGCATTTCACTGGGCCTCTGATTACCTGGCTCTTCTAGGGTGTGTGGAGAATGAGTGTAATTGATATGTTGACATAACCCTCACTTATTGTTTTTTCCAGGCTCTGGGCCAGTGATTTCAAAAATGTTACCCATGTAACTATTATCACCGCTTCCCAATATTTTTGTCCAATGTTTTCAGCTTATCAAGTCCCCTCAGGTTTATTTCATTTCATTTTCACAAGGAGAAGAGAGGCGAAGGGACTTGTCCAAGGTCACACTACTACTAAGTGGGTTGGGTAAAACTCGACCAGCCGTTCTGTTTGTCACTCTGTATTTCCCTTTTATGTACACGATTCCACTTTGACTGCCATTGCTCTTGTGATTAACATTCTCTCTCCTGTGACCCAGTGGGATACTAATTGGAATAGCAGAAGTGAGTCTTGTGATGTGCAAATGGAATGAGTGAGGTGTGGTGATGAATGGTGAACTGTTGAGCATCCTCAGGGAAGCCGAGAGAGGGCTGTGTTATACTGTGGAGGACATCTGAGAGACGCGGCTCCATTTAGACTGCCATTTCTAATTACTTTTATCTCTTCAATGCTGGTTTTAAAGGTCCACTGAAGAGTAATTTGAAGAAACCCATTTAGAATCATGCTGAATATTTAAAGTAGAAATTTCATTGTCAGCAAATTTCTCAGCCAGTATGAAAACAGAATGAGCTTTCCAAGGCTGAAATTTCAAGTGCGAGGGAGCTTAATTAGAAGAACTGCCTGGAAGAGTATGTTTGTGGCCTGAGAGGATTAGGATATTGAAATTTATATTTGGCAGCATGATAGTCTAAGCAGGCCCTGTTTTCCTCCATTTCCTATGCTACTTTATTCAGAAGCTTTTAAAAAAAAATTAAACTACATGGCGGGGGGGGGGGTGTACGGATGTGTGTCCTAACACATGTGGAGATCATAGAACAACTTGCAGGGCTCCAGTCTCTCACCACGTGGGTTCCCAGGGATTGAACTCAGGTTGTCAGGCTTGGCAAATGCCTCGACCCACTCAACCATCTCACTCGGCCCAGAAACTCGTTTGCGGGAATAGTTCTCATGGAATATTCTTTCCATTTCTTAAGGAGTGGCTCTCAGTGGAGGGGTGATAGCAGATTCTGAAAGGACTTCAAGAAAACGAGTGTAATTTTATTCTAAGCAGGACAGAGTAAGCCAGACTGACTCAGGACTAAGATTCAAAGTGAAATCTAGCTACTTTTGGGTTATAATTATTTTGAAATCTGTTGTAAAATCAGGATCTCCTGCAGGTTGGTTATTCTTTTAGGGTGTTCTGCGGCCTGAGAAAGTACTGTTCGTGGTGGTCTGTAAATCTCATTGTTTCTGAGTCTTCTTCTTCTTTTTTTTTTAATGATTTATTCCTTTTGGATATCAGTTTAGACTTATTTATTTATCTCTCGTGTGTGTTGAGTGTAGGTGTGTATTATGTCATCAAGTGTGGAAGTCAGAGGACATTTGCAGAGTTTGGTCCTCTCTTCTTCCACCATGGGTATCAGTCTTTGGTGGTAAGCGCTTTTACCTGTGAGCCTTTTACTGGCTCAGGTGTTATTTTTATACTAAAGTCTGTAGACAGTATCTTCAAGTATTCCGTAGTAATCTTTCACCTTTGCATACAGCCAAATGTTTGTATTTCTTTTCCTTAGGATATTGTTTTTCTTCCTGCCAAATGTTTGTATTTCTTTTCCTTAGGATATTGTTTTTCTTCCTACATTTGTTTTTGATTCTTGAGAATATTAAAATTATAACCAATTCATAAAATCTTGCTTATTTCTTTGGTGAGAACAGAAGGATTTAATCAACATTTTAAACATCTGTAAGATAATGAAAAAACAAAAATGATCAAGCTTTTTTGGAATGTCTTTTTTAATTGTGGTAGATTTTCATTATTAGGACTTTTTGTAAAGAGTTGATGCATTGGTCTGTTTTTTTTTTATGTATTAAGTAGATTTGGGAGGCTGGAAAGGGTGGCCATTTATCTTCTGTGATTTCCTCTACTCCACGTTTCTTGCGGTCCTCTCACATGGCTTCTAGTAGCCTCCTGACACCTGACAGCCATCTGTCTGGACTTCTTCAGATCTGTCAGCTGTGAGGCTGATGCTCTCAAGTGAAATCTGCCTCCTCCCGTGCTTGGTGTTCTTTGGCCTCAGACAGCCGCTTCTCTCTCCTTGGCGTGATATCAAGTGTTCTCTGGGAGCTGGACCTGCTCCTTCCGTCAGTTCACTCCTGCCCTCCTTGCCCGTGCTTCATCTCCAGGCAGCAGCTGATACTTGCGTTTCCACCGCTCTGCTCTGTCAGTTCACCTTTGCCCCTTCTTGCCCTTGCTTTATTCCGAGGCAACAGCTGGTGTTTGCATTTCGCTGTTTCTCATGGGCTTCTTTCACTCATGCAGGCCCCTTGCTAGCTTTCTCTCCCTGCCTCATTTCGTGAACAACTGACCTTCAAGGCTGTGCTCGGACATCACTTTCATAGACCTTTCACCTTCGCCTGGGTGAGGATGCCTCCTCAGTGCTCTCCTGGGCAGCACGTGATTTTTTTTTTTTTTTTTCCACTTTGTGTTCCGAATGTCTGTGTTTATGCCCATGGTTCTTATTAAGTAGTGGAGCCCTCGTGGCAGGTCGTTGGTCTACTGTTGCTGTGTGTGTATGGAGGACAGTGGTGAGTGCAGTGACATTTTCAAATGTGAAAATAATTGATTGGGGAATGTAGATGGTTAGTCAGTCACAAATCATGTTCATGCAACCCTTAATTCATAGACAGTGTAAATAAAGATAAACCACTGACTGGGCCTGGTGGTGCAAACCCACGATCCTAGGTACACTGGAGGCTAGGACAGTAATGAGGACTATGAAGAAGCAAGTGTAAGGTGTAGAGATCACAAGTTCAAGGCCTGCCTGAGCTATGATGTGAGTTCAAAGCCAGGGCTGTAGCTAGTGGTAGAGCACCTCCCAGCATGCATGAAACATGAGAGTCAATCTCCAGTACAGTATAAGAATAGAAAACAGAATAACCCATCACAGTCTGCACTCTTGGAATGGTATCTGAGAATTTTTATTCAAAATAGCCAGTTTATCACTTGGAGGATCTTACTGGGGCAGAAGGATGGGGTAGAGGTGGTTTGCTTTTTCTCTCATGAGTCCCCATCCAAGTGAGCTCTTTTCCTTTGTGTCCTCGCTGTTTCTGAGTCCCGCTCTCTCACAGGACTAGTTCTTCCTGCGCGATTCTTTCCTCTTCCTTGGTCACAATGCTTATGACTTAGCCTCTCTCTTGAGTATCAGACTTGTGTGTCCAGCTGTATATTTATATGCCCTAGATGGATACATCAAACTTAACCTGTCTCAGGTAGAAGTTATTAACCCTCTCCTCATATCTTTCAACCTCCTGGGGCATTGTCCCCATGAAGACCACTGTTGTCCTCTGCATTGCTGAGCCATAGTCCAGCCATTGTTTTGATTCTCAAAGTTCCTCAGCCCCTGCTTCTTGAGGACCCTACCTTCTTCTTCTTATATATCAGATGCACCTGCTTTGTTCCCTCTCCTCTGCCACCATCCTGTTCTGGCACAGCTTCTACTTCTTTAGAATCGCTTCTCTAAGATGCATGCCCCGTGTTCAGTGACCTTAGGGGTATTCCTAGTATGGCTTTCATGCGTGTCCAAACTTTTATCTTGTGTCTTGTCATCTACAAAGTTCACAGTCAAGAAGCAGGCAGTGAATTACATATATGTGTGTGTGTGTATGTGTATACATATCTACATGTATATGTGTATATATAAAGTAAATTTACTTCATCATGTTAGATCTAATTGATAGCTACTCTGAGGTGTTTGCACTCTGTGGGCCATGGGTCAGACATGCCTGGAAGGTTATTGTTATCAGTATCTTATTTTCAACTTCTCTTGGCAATTCTTCTTCAATTCGATCCTTGTTTTCTAGGTATTTCTGTTTTTTGAGCTCAGGCTACTCTCTCTTATTTTTTTAGATTTTATTTTCTAGTTTAAATTATGCATCCATGTGTGATCTGAGTGTGGGGTTGTGCACAGGATGCAGTGCCTATAGAGGCCCGAAGAGGGAGGTGAATCCTTGGAGCCAGAGTGACAGGTGTTGTGAGCTGCCTTGTGTGGAGTCTGGGAACCCAAATCAGATCCTCTGCAAAGGTAGTGCCTGTTGTTAACTGATGAGCCGTCTCTCCAGTTCCTCTCCTAACTCTCTTAATATGAAATCTTTTTTTAAAAAATATTTTATTCATTTGTATTTTATGCACATTGGTGTTTTGCCTGCATGTATGTCTGTGTGAGGGCAATGGATCCCCTGGAACAGGAATTACAGACAGTTGTGAACTGCCATGTGGTTGCTGGGAATTGAACCCGGGTTCTCTAGAAGAGCAGCCAGTGCTCTTAACCCCTGAGCCATCTCGCCAGCCCCCTTAATGTGAATTCTTAATTGTCTTTCAACTGTTGATTGAAATAGTATTTCCCCCAAGGCCCTTAAATGTGTCAGTTTTGTTTTGCTCTAGGATTTTTTGCTGCTGTGTTACAGCATTCTGCCATACTTGTGTCTCCGGTGGGACTATAAATTGTACAAGGGCCAGGGCAGTTTGTATCTTGTGAACAGAGAGAGGAACCTAGTGCCTAACATGGAGCTTAGAATATGGCACAAAGTCTTTCCTTTTTCTTCTTGATAATTTTTAAATTTTAAATTAAAATATAATGTACCGTTTTCCCCCTTTCTTCCTCCAACCTTTCCTTGTCCTTTCCCTCTTAACGGCTCTGATACCTCTTTCCATACTCTCTCAAATTTATGACCTCTTTTTCTTTCATTATTATTCTCTTTCTCTCTCTCATGCCCAAAGCCTGTGAGTCTTTTTAATGTTGCCTCTGTGTATGTGATTTTAGGGCTGATCGTTTATATTTGATAGCCACGTGGGGGCTCATCCCCGGAAAAGACTAATTCCCCTTCTCAGCAGTCATTAGTTGCCTGTGGAAATACGCGTCCTGAATTACCTGTTCATCTGTTTGTGTTTCTGCGGCTGGGTCTGAAAGGTCTTTCCTTTATCATAGCATCTCTCAGATCTGGGCTGCTCATGAACCCAGCATTGGTTCTAGACTGCAGCGCAGTCAGTGTTCAGATGCACTTCAGCTCCACTGAGACCTCAGGGTAGGAGGCTCCTCCTCGTGCCTTCTGTGGAAGACATCAGAAACGACTCCTGTTCCTTCAGTTTAGTTGCCTTTTGCTTTATGGGATTGGTGACCATAAAGAAAGTCAGCGCAACGCTCAGTCTTCTCTCAGGTTGTGTATTGAGTTGATGTAATCTCTATTTCTGTGCAAATGTGATAAATTAAGATTATAAAAAAAGAAAGGAAACCAGTGAAATCTGATGTAATAAGCCCATTCATTTTTGAGCAGAGCTGACTTCTTTGAAGATGAGGCAGTCGAACAGATTTTGAAGTACAATCCTTGGTGGAATGCTGCACATGCAAAAATGATGGCCTCTTTGGGAAAGAGCCAAGAACAAGGAGATGATGCTGCATTAGGTAAGAAACTCAAATGAGTTTTTCATTGTGAACATTTGTGATTTTTAAAACTCTCATTGCTGTGCCAAGCCACTGCCTTTCATGTTGTATGGCATATGATTTTAATTGCTTTTCATTGTGAAAATGGGATTTTTGGTTGCTAATTGTGCCTCATTTGTTTGCTTTTCTCTGCTGGTATTTAAACTGTAAGGTACCATAGCCTGTGCTGCATGCACAGGTTCCAGGTGTTAGTCCTGTGCTTTAAAATTCCACACTAAATCATTCAGCAGTTATTGTTTGTTGGAAAATTCTTATGAAGTAGATTTTACCTTAGACTCTGGTATCTTTTTAAGTTTTTGAATTGATTTATTTTTAGAAACAAGGATATTGACATACATTCATAGTTGAAGAATGTGCTTGAGAGGTACGACCGTGCCCCTGTGCTGAGGACACATGAGTATGAGAAGGATAGACGCAGGCTAGGCCTTTGCTCTCGTCCATGAATTGGATGTGGCCTCCTCTGTTTATTCTCAGGTAGTGGGATGAGGAAGCCAGAATAGCTGTCTTTCCATCACAGTTTCCAGAACATGGTGGAACAGTTTGTACTGGAGAATGTTGAGGGGGGGATTTCACAAGCCACAAGAGGTGCCTGTCCCATGTGAAGATAAGCATTACCAGAGTTCTTTCTTGGGTGCGCGTGTTCTCATCATTGGTCCAGCACAAGCTGCTTGTTCTAAGTCTGTAGAGTCATAATGGTTTCAGTTAGATCAGAGCAAGAGTCCTACGTTATCTGATAGATGATTTGGCTTTTTTTTTTTTTTTTTTTTTTTTTGGTTTTTCGAGACAGGGTTTCTCTGTAGCTTTGGAGCCTGTCCTGGAACTAGCTCTGTAGACCAGGCTGGTCTCAAACTCACAGAGATCCGCCTGCCTCTGCCTCCCGAGTGCTGGGATTAAAGGCGTGCGCCACCACTGCCCGGCAGATTTGGCTTTTCTTTATATACTAAAACTAAATTTTAGCATTTAATGAAAGGAGTGCATAGGTAAGAATAAATATTCTGGAGAACAGTAAATGGAATGTAAACTTTCCTGTTGTGGAATATTGGTTTAAGGGGCTTTACATTTGTTTATGCTGTGGAATATTTGTTTGATGATGCAAAGATGTGTTGGCATTCTTTTATGTTACATTTGTTTAACTCTGTAAAGCTGTGTTACTTTGCCTGCCTAAAACACCCGATTGTCTAATAAAGAACTGAACGGCCAATAGCAATGCAGGAGAAAGGATAGGCGGGGCTGCCAGGCAGAAAGAGTAAATAGGAGGAGAAAGAAATCTGGGCTTGAGAATAGGGAAAGAGGGAGGAGTAAGAAAAGGAGGAGAGGAGGATGCCAGGGGCCAGCCACCCAGCCAGCCATAGAGTAAGAAGGAAAGAAAGATATGTAGAATAAAGAAAGGTTAAAAGCTCAGAGGCAAAATGTAATTAAAGAGAAACAGGGTAATTTAAGTTAGAAAAACAGGCTAGGAATAAGCTAACCTAAGACTGTGCATTCATAGTTTAAGAATAAATCTCGGTGTATTTATTTCGGAGCTGGGTGGTGGCCCCAAAAGAGGTTTTTTTTTTTTTTTTAAAAAAAGAATCCAGCTACACTTTCCTTCTCCAGGTTTCTTCTCCTAAAAACTATTACTGTTTACAGTTTTGAGTGTATTTCACATGAATTTATTTTTGTGTTGACTGTCAAACCCACGGCCTTATATATGTTAAACACACACTTTTACCCCCAAATTGTACCCCCACCCCACCCCACCCCAAGCTGTATTCTTAGCCTGGGGTGTTTTTAAAGTACAGACCTCACAGCTGTAAGTAAATTTTTGGTAGTAAATATTTGGTTTACTGTGGTGTACACAAAAGGTGCTGTGCCTGTGGCCTTGCCATCATTGTTGCTGAGCGTCTTCCACATGGGCATGCCCAGATCATTTGCCTTTTTGTACATGGAAGCCGCCGTCGGCTGCTGTCCAGTGCTGCATGTCTCTCGGGACGGGGAGCCTTTGGGCTGTATTGCTGACAGTCATTTACTGCTCTCACTGATGGTACAGGAGCTATTTTTTACCTCAGTCCAACTGAAGTAGTTATGGGCTCTTCTGCATCAGTTCCTAAAAGCTGTCTTCAAATAGCCCAGTCAGCTGCTGTTCACTCCTTTGTTAAGTGTGTGATAGAGTGATTATTATGTAATAGGCAGTAAGAACAGTTTATTAAGTGTTTTTGTGGTTAAGCTTTGTTAGAGTTTGGTTAGTTTCTACCAGAGTGAAAAACTGCTATTGTAAGTTTAGAAACTAGACTATTGGTTCTGAGTATAGGTGTGTGTGCCATTGTCCTCAGTGTGCTCTGTGGTTGTATTTGGTCTGTGCTTATGACACCTTCAGATTCCTTCCCCAGCTAAAAGACTTGCAGATGTAGCATTGTTGACTCAATCTGGGTCATTAAGGATAAGCTAAGTAGGTCTCAAGAAGTTTGCTCCTAAAGGTCAGCTGCCCTCCCCAGTTTGGCAGTGTTGTGGTTTGAGAGGAAGCTTGTGATGGTGTCGTCGAGATTTCTCTCCACCAGAGGGAGCTAGTTGCCCTAAAAATCAGAAGGCATGCTCTTTGATTTCAGTTCTAGCTTGCTTTCCTTTAATAATGGCAGTGTGTTCTGAGGCCAGTTCTCCATGTCAGCAGTGCTTTGAGTGAGGTCCTCTGTAATTTTAACAGATTGAGCCAGTGCTCTGTCCTTTTAACCGCTGACTCCCGACCCTTTATCTGACTTGTAGTCAGATTGGTGGTTCAGGCAGTCTGCTCAGCCATTACGGTGATTCATTCTAAAAGTCACCTTTCAAAATAGCAAGGCTATATGATCTAAGGTGGAGGAACTTGAGCTGTATTGAACAGAAAGGGCCTCCTCCATTATGCCAGGTATAAGGTTAAGTATAGGCAGGACACAGCTGAATGTGAGGCTTGCACTTAACTCCCCCCTCACTGCCAGCTGAGTGACCGTGCAGCCTTGGGTTGCTGTGGAAGTCTCCCTCCTTCAGAGCTGCCGTGAGGATTGAATGAGGCTGTGTGTATGAAAGCCTCCTTGCATTGTGAGTCTTAGAGATTATTGTTAGAGAGTGAACTGAGTGGCAGGGGAGCTAGGAATTGAATGACTTCTCTGTCAAATTGCCATTTTTGTACATTCTTCAAATCTTTAATGGAAAGTTCCTTGTTAATGAGATTTTTTTCTTTCATTTTATTCTTATTCAAATATTTGAGACACCCAGAACTGGAGGAATGAACTGGCATGTCGAACTAGGGTAAAATATGGGAGAAAAGAAATAAAGCAAAGAACTAGCTTTACAGTTCTGTTTACCAAGACACATATTGCTGCTGTCTCTCGTCTCCTCCCGATTGTCTCTGCCCTTCTCTGCTGCCTTGCCTTCCTGCTTTGTGCCCCGCAGTGAGGTGCTGTCATTCAGATGGGACATTGCAGATGATAGGGATGTACCTTGGAGTCGTCCTTCATATACTATCGTGACCTTTGCTTTGAGTTCTAGATATGCTGTAGGTGGGAAACTTAGGTGCTGTCTTTGCTCGGGTGGTGACACTGGTCATATTTATTGGAGCCCAGAGTTACAGAAGGGAGTCTGACTAACATCTTCAGCTTTGTAAACATCCAGGTTTTCCTCCCCCAAAGACTCCTGAATGGCAGCGTTAAGTGCTGTGCTCCCTGGGAGCTCCGGTTTCATGAGGATGGACTCACCGCATTTCCCAAGTTGTCTTTCAGTGGTTAACGTCAGCCCAGGAGTCCTGGCACATGATTGCTTGTTATGACACCACATACCATTTACAGCCCATGAACTTCCTTGCAGGGCCGTCCTGTTTGGCACCAGTGAGCCCTTGAGTGTTTGTGGAGATAACTGGTAATGTCAGTTTTGAAAGTGGTGGAACGGCAGGGCTGCCCATTTAGCTGAGGGCTCGAGTGCAGCGCAGGTTCTTGATCTGTTTCCAGTACACGTACAATGTAACAGACAGATATGTGTTACTCAGAGGAGCCAGATTATGGATGACTGAATCGCTGATCCAGACAAGACAGGGTTGTTTGGGAGGGGGATTTAAAGAGAAAGAGAAGGTTTAAAGTAACAGAATCAGAAAGAGTTTGGGAGAAAGAGCAGATACCTCAACAACATCTTTCCATCTTCATGGGATTCCTTCATAGGACTCAAACATACCAGCAAGCTAGGTTGCTAATGTCTGTCAGAAAGTAGCCATGGGCAATTTGTTGTAATGTTTGGGCACCAGCATCTCCTCCAACACTATTGAGCTGACTTTTGGTTTACTAAAGATTATTTTTAAGAGTATTAATATCTGAAATGTTGTCAACTCTGCAGCTAAGTCATACAAATGCTTGCTTGATAGGTGTTGCTTGAGGTGGTGACCACTCAGGTGTTGGTATTTCCTGTACTGCTGCTGGGTTAGACCTGATTGGTGCTGACTACTCCAAGTACCCCTTTGGAATGTGATTTACCGTCTTGATAAATTGGGGTTCAGGAAACTCAGACTGATTGATTGAGGAAAATCCGATTGATTTCTATAATGATATCCTCATTAGTTGTATATCTGATTCTTTCGGTTGGCTCAAATATAAAATATGTTTGAACTAAGAAGGCCAAAATGGAACCTAGAAATCCTCAGAAAAAGTTGATATTTTAAGAAAAGGCTAATACAAAGGCTAGTGGCAGGTAGCATCTTTAATTCAAGAGCACAGTTAAGTAGGCTTTTCCTATGCTGTACAGTCCTTGAAAGTGATAGAGAATGTGTGGATATTCTTCCATTTGGAGTGTAACTTTGTACAGTGCTGAGGTTAACCTTTTCAGATTGTCAAACAAGTATGGCTATCGTTACTTAAGAATGGAGACACGGCCCTGTAGAAGAGTTGGCGTGTTTAAAGACAGTTCTGGGCATGCTTTCTCTGTGATTCAAGAGTTATGTGGAAGCTGAGGTCTTTATTAGTCAG